CGAACGTTTTTTATCTTAATGAGTATCTCTAGATTTTTACAGTTTCGTTTAAAATCCCAGATTTTCAAAACGCTGTAATTTTTTTATAAATTCATTCGATTCGACATTAAAAAAAAGTATGCGAATAATAAAAGAAAATGAGATGTGTGTAGACAGCACACACCTTTAATTTTTAATATTTTGCCGGTATAAATAAAGAACCAATACCACCAATTTCATTCCCTCAACTCTTGTCATTGGCTTTCATAGCGATTGCTTGACTGTTGAACACAACAAACACCTTCACGTTAATCCCTTCTTTCTCTCTCTCTCTCTCTCTCTCTCTCTCTCTCTCTCTACATTTCTCGATTGAAGAAACCCAATTGGATTCAGGCGTTTAATTTCCTGTGATGGAAAAGCAGCAGCAGATTGCAAAGGAATCGAGATTCAGGCGTATCTGCGTTTTCTGTGGCAGCAGTGCTGGCAAGAACCCGAGCTACCAGCTTGCTGCCGTTCAACTCGGCAAAGAATTGGTAACTCTTATTTCTCATAGCTCTCTTCACTCCTTCTAAAGTTCAAAGCATTTTTTTTTAACCTTTAAATGTTTGAAGAATCGAAACTCTTGTGTCATTCTACAAAATCAATCGAATTTTGAGGTACCATTTTCTTGGTAAGTCTTTAGTGAATTCATTTGGATTAGAGGTATTTGGGATTCGGAGCCATTTCTTAGAACGATATGCCACTACAACGGTATTCGATGTTAATCACTTGTTACTATTCATTTTTATTATATATGTGATTGATTTAAAATATCGTTACGACGATGGCGTAAATGATGAGTGTTTGAACTTTACATAATTATATGATTAGTTGAGATGTTTGAACGAGGCACGTCAGTTGGTAATATAAAAAGACGATATCTTTTTGCAGGTTGAAAGACACATTGACTTGGTGTATGGAGGAGGAAGCATTGGGTTAATGGGTCAGATCTCCCAAGTTGTCAATGATGGTGGCCGCCACGTGTTGGGGTAAAAACATTTTATCTCTAATTTTACAGTTAATTGGAAATTAAAAAAAAAATCAACAACGCGCTTGTTGTACTGTATTTTTCTAAATTTTTTTATTCCTCTGATCTTAATTTGTATTTTGCTTTTATTAATTTGCAGAGTAATTCCCACTACCCTCATGCCAAGAGAGGTATTTAATTTCTTCATTATGTATTTATTTTAAATCCTTTAATTACAGTTAAGTGAAGATATTAAAATAAATAATTATTTTATAATCTTAGATCACAGGAGAGCCAGTGGGAGAAATAAGAGTTGTATCAAGCATGCACCAACGCAAAGCGGAAATGGCTCGCCAAGCTGATGCATTCATTGCCTTGCCAGGTACCAAATTCTGCCTTGTGACAGTGTCTCAAATTAATCACACACTAATTTCTTAAATCAATTACGCACTTTGTTTACCTATTTCACGTGATAGTGTGTCACAGTGCATTCGATCATGCACTTCCGAAATAAACCATCCGTATGTTAATGTTGATTACAGGTGGCTATGGGACCTTGGAAGAACTGTTGGAAATGATCACTTGGGCACAGTTAGGAATCCATAATAAGCCGGTAATTAGTAATTCAGCTTTGGTCCTTGTAAATTAAATAGGACTAATTAAAATTAGAGGTTGATTAGTTAACAAAGTTAATTATTTTGGATGATGCAGGTGGGGTTGTTAAATGTGGATGGATACTACAACTCACTGCTATCGTTCGTGGACAAGGCTGTGGACGAAGGTTTCATTGACCCTGCAGCTCGCCACATTATTGTCTCTGCCGAAACTCCCTGCGAACTCATGTGCAAACTAGAGGTACATTTTTGTAATTGTCAAAACTAAAAGATTCCTTCCTCTTTAACGTTTACGAACATTCATTGTTGACACATATTTGACTGTTAAATTTGATTCAACGGCTTAAAACTAAATGCCCCGAAAGATGGCTTGGTTTTGATCCAACAGTCAAGTATGTTGCCATTGAGTACGTGTAGGTACAGGTACTTGAGAAAGAAGTGCTAAATGATGAGGACTCATGAGATCTGAGCCGTCCATTTTGATGACCTGATGCTGATAGGGGTTTTGATGTTGATTGACCAAACCTGCAGGAATATGCTCCAAAGCATTCTGGGCTGAGTTGGGAGATGGAGCAACAACTGGAATACAAGGCAAAGTCAGACATTGCACGTTGACCAGAACAAGATCTATCGTGTCGTCGTGGAGGATTAATGACCGTTAGATTAATTCCCCGATTTGTTTTCTGAAAAATACACAGAACTATGTAAAAGCAGTCAACCATTGGTAGATGCCAGCTCCAATTGAAAAGTGCCAACAACACAGTTATATAGCTGTGGATCATGCTTTTTGGATTTCTTTTTTTTTATATAAATTTTTTGAGAATTATTTATTATTTATGCTAATTAGAATCTGAACTGGATCACAATACCTGTGATTTGATCACGAGTTCTTCATGTCAGCGATTCATGATGTTTGTATATTCTATCGATTCAGTTCGTATATAGTTTCAAAAAATGGATTGGCTGTTGCAAGTTGTTTTTATGAAAGAAAGGAGTGTCGAGAGGAACATTATGCAAAGATTATCAAGAAAAAGGAGACATAAAGTACGTGTTTTGTGTCGCTTATTCATTTGTTGTAATATTACGTGAATACGATACAATTGAAATGTCACAAATTTGATGTTTAGTTGTAGTAAATGGAAGAAAGGAGGTTAAAAGCATATTCGAAACACGAGTGAAAGGCTCAAGATGAAGATCAATTTATGTGTTGGAATGGAAGTAGATTAGTAATACTATGGAGTGATATTTCTCGAACCTAATGAGAGGAAAGATATTTTTTATCATCAATTCAGCATGTGATTATACTCTTATTAGAGGATTGGTTCACTTTTTAAATGCATGACAAACATTAATTGACCGAACAACACTAGAGAGAATCGTACATGAACTTAGAATTTTTTTAGCATTGGATTGAATGTTTACCTAAATTCACTATTTGGTCCTCATTGCATTGAATTGAACCAATGCTATTTATATTTTCTTACTTTTTATTTAGAGTATTGCTATTTACATTTTTTTTTTTTTTTTACCTTTTAAATATTTTTTTAATTTTTTGCTTCAAATCAAATGAATAGAAAAAAAAAATCAAATAACAAAAATTAATTAAAAAATTATAAAAATAAAAATGAATGTGAATAACACCATTTTTCATTTTATTATTTGAGCGAGTGGTTTGAAGAGTGGACAGGGCTAGGTTGTTCATCACGCAAAGTAGCGGACATGACACCTGTCATTGACCCTACCAATTACACACTGCGTAGAGTGCGAAAGCTATGGTGGAAAATTAAGTGGCCCTTCTCCTTTCTTGGTGCGTTGTTGTTGTTGATGAGATGAGAAACTAGGGATTATGTACCTGTGATAACACAAGTTGGAATGGCATCTCGACAAGCGAGAAGAACTTCATTACTTTATAAGAGTTTACGTGGATATTGCATCTTATTCGACTTGAAAAGAAAGAATAGCCTATCATTAAGCATCCCATCACTTACGAGAGAAAACATGTGGGTGTTACATCTTGTTAGACTTAAAAACGAGAACTTTCATTCAACAAAAATTTTATTACGTGTGAGATAAAGAAACATTACATCTTTTAACAGTGTGTAAGTGGCGTGAGATACTGTTACAATGCTTTATGAACAAAGTAAGAAAGCAGTTGATTGAGACCCAAAAGAGAGAAGTAGGAGTACGGAACTTCCTTTGAGTTTCGATGGTTGTTGAAGTTGCACGACCACTTTGTGTGGTTGATTCCATATATGGATAGACATCAATTGGTGGTGTCATGTGAATCTATAAATCCCGTAGAACAACGCAATTCCTTTCTGTTGTGGATAATGTACGACGGCATTAGTCAGTAGTTGTCGCTCTCAACTTTAACCTTTTTCTTGGAGCGAAAACTAGGAAATCCAAATCATGTCTCACTTCCCATGCGAAACATGAACAATTACATGCACTAATGTTGAAAGACAACCACGTCATTATTTTAACTCAAAACTTTAAGGAATCCACACAATATAAGTGATGTGTTAGTCCTATTCAAGATGATCGTTTGTATAACCTTTTCGAGTAGTAATTTTTTACGTTCTCGTTCTTTTCTTTGCACTATTTGTTATAAATAAGTTAGAGAGATAATCTTTATAAGGACATGAGCGAAGTAGGTGCAAAATATCATATTATAACTTTAGTAGCTATAACACAGTAAGGATGACAGATAAAGAGAGGGAGAGATACTGATATTATTGGATACTGTTATTATTTCTCTCGCTTTCTTTCGTAGTGCATTTGATAACAGACGGAGTGCTCTATTTATAGAGCAACTCTCGTAACTACAACCATCAAAATACAATGATGATACTTTTGTAAGTATCAAACACTATTACTCACTATTACTAAGTCTTTGGGCATTCGTTTGAGTGGGCATTCATCCACTAATTCTATAACACTACTGTGATTGTGATTTTCGTTTATTTATTTATTCAATTTAAGGGTAGAAAACGAGATTCTTAAAAAATAAAAAAAGCTAGAAAACGAGTGTAGAGGAGAAAACTTGAATTTTCAAAGCATTCCACAAAGTTGAACCACAAGAGCTCTAAACTTTACGCAACAATAGACCAATTGGCTAGAACAGTGTACCACACAAATTCGAATCTTCTCCCTCCTAAATTAGGGTAGATATTAGTCCTCTCAGGATCTATGTCCGGAAGCGACAGACCAGAGAATTCGAACAATTCAAGAGAGTGAGAAACAGATCCAGATTGTTCAAGGGCTTGGTTTTGTATGAGGTGGGCCAATAAGATGGGTTGATGATAGCCGCAAGATTTAAATTGAGTAATCCAAATTCTCTAGTCCATTGGCTCCGAACACAAGATCCAGTGAGGGATCTGAATTCTGAATGACCCAAATAATTGGAAAGCAAATACGTACTACTGCATTACATCACTAAATTGTGTATAGAAACAGTCCCCAGGGCATGCATACAAACAGGTACAGAGCAATATATATAATACAAACAAATGTAATCAGTTATCTACGACTCTCTAGGTGAAGGATTTAACTGCTGAAGAGGTTGTCACCAAACTTGACAGAAGGCCAACAATGACCGCACTGTTGTATGTGCTCGGCTCCGCTTGCTTCGAGTTGTTCCGGGCATCAATGTATGTTTCGTTTAGGAATGGCCCGCCAACAAGTGCTCCAACGGCTATGTTAGGGTTGGGGTCAGTTGAGTCAAGGTACTTGAATCCATCTTTGCAGCCAGTCTTCTGATTAGCCGGGATAGAAGCTCCTCTGTGGTGTACGTATTTGGGATATTTATCCCCGTACCCGACAAGATAGCTCATTTTCATAGGATTGTCGCCCAAGACATAATCCGCCTATAAAATTCGAAACACATTAGGAAGGAATACACGTTTATGAAGGGTTACGGCTGTTTGTTGCTAACACCTGTGCATATATGCAAAATGTACTTGAGACACAACAGAAAGCATACCTGAGATCTAACAAATTTCCGAATATCTGATGGCTTATAGGTATCTCCATCGCACTCTAGTTTTGTGGAGCGAGATGTAAGCATGTAGTCACTGTAAAGAGCAGCTAGGAAAGCAGCAGCAACTGGCTGCTGCAGAGCATTCCATTCACTGACCCAGATCAGACCATCTGCAATGTGGACACCATGATGGTAAGCGAAGGAGAATGAGAGATACGGGAAAAAAAACTGAATAAATCAACTCAAACCGAACTACGAGCATATGCAAACCAGCCTAGGAGATTTGAGTGTGGTGCATAAAGCTAGAAGGATACAAAGCAAAATAACATTTCCAACTGTGGACACATACTTGATAGCTTGGAAATATCAGAAACCGTATGCATTTTGGTGTTTAAAGCTTTACGTTTGCCTAGTACAAATATCACTATCTTCTACATAATAGGAAGCAATTGTGTTGATCCTCCCTAGTTGTTTTGAAGTGCAAATCAGTTATTATGAATGGTGGAGGAGTTTGTCTACAATAGAGGCTGTTAGATTGGTGAGTGTTTATAATATTATCAGTAACATCTAGATTAATTGGTGCGTTAGAATGTAGAAGAAGCGTTGATATAGTTCTGGAGAACTAATCTCGAGGTAGGGTAGCAGGAGCAATGATTTTGATTTAACTTGAAGAAGAAAAGATATGCATGATAATCCATGTAATATGACAATAGTGAAGAAGATTACTGTCTGTTCTGCTTTTCGTGGCTGTTGGCGAGCTTGGCAGGAAGCCACATATAACAGCCTCAGCTGTTTTCCTGTACTTTTGAAGGCCAGAATTGTCTGAGGTGTCCTTCCCACCAAAGAAGGTCAACCTGGAAAGCAAAACCTGCATGAAAATGGCCAAGTTATTGAAAAGACTGAAAGACGAAGTTTAATCAAGTATAATGGTAACTTATCTTGCAAATGGAAGTCCCACAAATATAGCTATAATAATCCAGGAAGAGTAACACATTGTTAAATCATATGTTTCTCCGGTGAGTTGCATTTTACCATGGCATTTGACAGATTAAAACACAGCAGGAAAAACAAAGAAAGGATTGTTCTCAACATACCTGGGTTCCTGCAAGCTTGTTATCCCAACTGAACCATGTTGGTTTACCAAATTGAGCAAACTCATCTCCATTCTCCCCTGTGACGTAATCAAGGTATTCCTTATCCCCAGTTGCATGGTAAAGCCAGGCTGCTGCCCACAAAAGCTCATCTCCATATCCCGTTGAATTGTAAAATTGCTGGACCTCAGGGATGCTTTCACTGTAAGAGCCTCTGTTTTTGTCAGCAAAAGTAAATAACTGCTTGGCGTGCTTGAGAAGCGTATCTGAATATGTGGCATCACTTTTCTTGAAGACCAGAGATGCCGAAGCCATAGCCGCTGCAGTTTCAGCTGCAACATCCGTTCCTGGAGCGGATGTGTTGACCTGTGTGACTGGCCTACTCTCGGTCATGTCTTCCGGCCTATACCAACATGCATGGTCCTTTTTAGGGTCACCTACCTGCCCCAGAATATGAATTGACAAGTAAGTAACACTTCATAAGCATTGCAATTTGCATGTAATAAAAATGGTTCATCATTACAGCACCTATTATCCCACACAGTGCTCTAGAAGAATCACTACGCGATTGTAGAATTAAACACTAACATTCGTAACAACGTTTAGCGCATATTCAAACCAATGACCCTCCCGAAAATCAACTGTTAGCCAAGAAATCAGTATCAAAATACAATGCTGATATATACAAACCTGAACGTAGAGCACATTGTCCTTGGGATGAGCATTGACAAGGAAGTCAGTGATCCACTTCAGAGATGCTTGAGCGGTTTGTAACTGATTCACCGCATCCATCTGATCACCATACTCAAGAATCGTCCACGACAACACTGTGGCAGTATACGCCATTGGAAAACCAAACTTCATCTGATCCCCAGCATCATACATTCCCTTGGACAAATCCAACTTCACATCGCTTCCATCTTTCAGACCCGAATCCCCTCTCCACGATATCTTGTTATCGACCAACTGACCAGCTACACATGACAATCACCCACAAAATAAAAAACAAATTACAGATCAAGCACTTCACAACACTTAGCAAACTGGGTTTTGGGTAATACGAATCATGTGAATCACCTGAATAGTTACTAAGTAAATTAATACATCGAGAACTCGCAAATTCACAATGGAAAAGATGAAGAACAAAGATCGAACCTTTATATCAATTTTGGAAAGATCAAACATTTATACCAATTTAGCAAAGATCAAAGATCTATACCAATTTAGCATCTGGGTTTTAGGTAAACTACTAATGTGAATCCAGTGAGCAATTTACTAAGGAAATTAATGCATCAAAGATTCGCAACAAAGACGAAGAAGAACAAAGCAAAGATCAAACATTTATACCAATTGAGCAACTGGATAGTTACTTGGGAAATTATACACTTAAAATCCGCAATGTAAAGCAAGAAAAACAGCAAAACAAAGATCAAACACTTGCAATTTTTAGTAATTGGGGCATTGGGTAATGCTAACAATGTTAATCAACTGAGAATTTAGCAAAGAACTTGAACACATTGCAAATGTAGAGAGAGAGAGGGAGAGAGGGTACATTTCTGGACGTCGAAGAATTGGACGGCGAGTTTGAGAGCGTCGGAGTATTTCTGGGTAATGGCGCCGGGAGGCCCGGGAACCGCCCCGTCGTCGCCGCCGGAGTTTTTCTTTACTTTCTTGACGACGGCAAGAACGACGGCGCCGACGACGAGGCCGAAGATCGCGAGCACCAGCAGCCACGCCCACCAACCCTTGCACCTAGATTTAGCTCCCATTTTTCAGGACCAACCAAAACCACAAGAGGCAGGCAAAAAGTAGTCCAAGTAGAGATCTGTCTTAGCACATTGTGACAAGACAAACAAACATTAATCGAGGTTTTGGAGGAGATTAAGCGACGATTGGTGCTCCCTCTCGGATCCGAACTCAGATGTTTGTTTTTTATGTTTGTCGTTGGACACGATCTACTGCACCGACAACCGTGACAAGGTTAATTTCGCCGCCTTTGCTTTTATTTTGCCTTTTTATATTAGCATTCTGTAAAATATTGAATGCACTTCACATTAAAATTTAATATTAAATAATTTATTTATCCTATTATGTAATGGCAATTTTGATCTTATTAAGTTTATAAAAAAAAAAATTATCTACACTCCAAATCACTTTTAACGTATTATTTATCTTCTTCAACTATCAAAACCTCTTCGACCTTCCATTGTTGAACAAAATCCTAACTAATAAAACTACAAACATGTTGATTGAGAAAAATTATTTTTGAGAACGAAACACGAAATCGATGTTTCAGAAGCTTCACATGAGGTAAGACTTCATATTTTTTATTGTTTTAGTAATTTTGACGACATCGATAATTATTTAATCTTGTTTTTTATGTGTTATTCAAGTTTTTATGTTCGTATTTATCTTTTAGGGCTCACAAGGATTGCATGAATAATTAAACACCTAAAATTACCACTAAATATTAGAAACAAACGACATAGGTTTTAATGGTGGAATTAAAAACAACGCACATATGCTTTAAATCTCAAGCGGCATTTTTTGTCAAAATTCTAGTCTGTATTTTTTGTCCAAATTAAAAGCTTTATAAGATTTGAGAAATGTGGAATGTATAGAAAATATGGGGTGCATGTAGAAAATGTCAGATGTATATTAAGAATGTGGGGTGTGAGGATATTATAAGTAAGCATGTGAGAGGTGTATTACGATAATTTTTAATTGAAAAAGCAAATATGATATGTATTAAGTACGTGGGTTTATTTATTAATTTGTAGAATGTTAATATAATAAACCTTTATTTTTATTTTTTTTATTTTCGTTTATTGGAGTTTGGTACGTTGGTTCGCTGGTTGGGCTAATCATTGTCAAAAGACGGAACTAGCCCTCGTGCGGGCAGGCAAAACGAACGGGCAGATCTGCAGTAGGACGATGTCAGAGATGACGCAGAGTTGTTTTGGCCGTTGGATATTTGGGAGGGAAAGATGATATTAACCGTTCAACTGACCACCGACAGGAAGGTAAAAGAAATTGACCGTGGATCTTAAAACCCTGGTCGTTGCTTGTGGATGGTAAAACGAATTGAAAGTGGGCCAATTTCTGGTGCGGAATGTGCAGCCGACGATCCAGCTTCGGTTAGAGCGTTGCGTCTGAATAAAATATGGTCATCCGTACTTCCATAAAGGGGTGTGCTAGCGACAAAAAGAGAGATTTCGCCGTGAGTCGCGTATTTTAAGTGCGGAAGATTTGATCTCTCAATCACGTAGCTTTTCAATTTCTTGTTAAATTTTGGATAGGGTCCCCCACATCTAAAACAAAACAAAAAAAATACAAATGTTCATTAATCTTGTATTTGAAATGTAAGACCGTTGTCAAAGAAAATGTCAAATTATAATAGGTAAATAGTAATTAATTAGCTGATGTGAGAATATGAAGTTTTATATCAAATTTTGTATTTTTCCAATCGAATTGTCAAAAGTTATTTTTCTTATTAAAATAGAGCTTTAAATGGTTATAATTATTTAAAAAAAAAATGTTGAAACAAAATTTTTATTGATTGAAATGTTAGTGGAATAAGAAACCCACCATTAAAATTAAAGGAAAACTAATGAAAAAGATTTGAAAACTTTGAGTTTTAATGATAAGTACAAAATAAATGGTAAAGTGAATAGTGCCATGATTGACTTTTTATTATAAAAATATGGTTTTTCGTTAAAGTGAGCAGTATCTGGAGTTTTTCGTTAAAGTTTCCTAAAATCAATTAAAAATAAATGTGCATTGATGTCAAATTTGACTCCTAATCACAAAGTCTTCAAATTCAATCAACAAATAACACTTCGATTGAAAAGATTTTCAATGTCAAATTTGCACAATGGTATTTAATCTAGGATTTTGACAACTGTTATGGAGATGTTCTAAATTTAAGAGTGGAACGTGACTAATGAGAAATATGTAATGTTGGTGGAAAATCGCAAATAGCCCTAAACGCTCCGAATAGCACACTGGTGAACATGCGTCCAAAAAATAACTCCACCGTGAAGACGCGCGAAGCCAACCAATGACGTCTCGCCATGTTCTCGGTCTCTTTCCACCGTCATCGTTGACCATAAGCATTGACCCTCCCACATATTTACATTTAACTTAAAAATTAAAATAAAAATTAAATTAAATTTCTGTGTTAATTACTCACTCTCTCCTGTGTAGCTGAGACGCCACAGTCTCCGGCGGCGACATCCCGGAGGACGCAGGTAACCTCTCCACAGTATTCAAAGCATTTTGCGTTCTGGTTTTTCTCTCCCGATTAATATTTACTGAATTCCCCAATTCTTTTAATTTTGATGTGAATTTGCATAATACGTAGAATCAGGTTGTGTGGGAAAGAACTGCTTTTTGTGTTTAGTTTTTGATATTATAATTAGGGTTTTATGATCTTTAATTCTTGTGTGGGGGTTTGTAATTGTTGGTTTTAGGGTTTTAATCCGCGGCCGTTGTTGGATTAGGGTTTTATTCCGCGGCCATTCTGGTCTGGTTGAATCTAGGGTTTAGGGAATTTTAATTTTTACTCGAGGCGTATAATTCCCACTAATTTCAATGCTGTTTGTGAAATTTGTAATGTGAAAATGATGATTTATGCTCGGTTTAGGGTTTAGGGTTTTGGGATAGCATTCTAAGCGGAATTTTATCGATTTTCAGATGCAAGTTTTGTGGCTTGTAGATGGATAATGAAGTTAGTCATCGTCAGCCTAAGCAAGAACGTTCGAGGACTCGGTGGACAGCATCCCTCGATAAGACATTCGCAGACTTGGTTGTGAAGCAGATTCAGTTGGGAAACAGACCGAACAGTGTGTTCGACAAGAAAACCTGGAACATTATTCGCGATGAGTTCAACAAGCAAACGGATCTCAACTTCAACAACAATCAGTTGAGGAAGCACTTGGATGTTCTGAGGACACGATTTTACAACCTCAAGTCGGCTTATGATCAAACGAATGACTTCACTCTGGATGATTCTTGCTGTATCGAGTTTGAGCATCTGTGGGAGGACCTCGGGGTGCAGACTAAACCTGAGACAATTAAAGTCAAGGACTGTCCGATATATGATCAGCTGTGCACGATATTCGCAGACTCTGCAGCCGATGGGAAGTATGCTCAGTCTAGTCACTACGAGGGATCGGACAAGTCTGCCGGAATAGACAGTGCAGGTTTGATTTCCTGTCCCGACAGTGAAGCCCCTCATTCTGAAATCCCATCATCCTCAGAGCCTGTGCAAGGCAAAGCGTCAACAGCAGAAAAGGTGGCCAAGGTTATAGTGGATAGGAAAAGGAAACGTCCATCCGAGGCAGAGTCTTCCGAGGGTCAAAGCAGAAGGGATCAAGAAATATGTGATACAATGGCACAAGCCCTTTCGGAGATGATTGCTGCGTCAAAGTTGAGGAGAGCGGCGGCAATGCCTAGAGATGACAGATTTTCCATTACCAATTGTATCAGAGCACTGGATGAGATACAAGGCATTGAAGAAGAACTCTACTTTCCCGCGCTAGACCTGTTCGAGGACCCTAATTTGAGAGAGACATTCATCTGTTTGAAAGGCGATCAGATAAGGTTGCCTTGGTTGCGAGGGAAGTGCAGTAAAACTACGCATGGTTAGATATTTAGGATGAACTCATAGCACATGTTCATAATATGGCTTTTCTGTCAGTGAAAGTTTATAGATATTTCATCTCAACTTCAATGGCATAGCTAATTTATAAACACCGAGCCCCAGAAAGTATTCATCTTGCAGTATCAATGAAATCAAACAAGCATTCGTCGTTGTTCGATTAGCAAGTCTCAATGTTATTCATCTCTAAATAAGTATCCAAACAATGAGGAATGATCACAATAAATATATTTTGCTCAAAATTGGAGACAAGTGAAATTAATACAGTAGGTAATGTATCACAGCAACTCGACTAAACTCGACCCACAAAATTTATCGGATTGTGCAGCATGACTTGGTATCTGCTAACCGGCAGCAATTTGGCGTCCACAGTAACCCATCTTCCGATCTCTCTTGAAAGCCAAGTTCCTCTTCTGTCTCTGCTGCATATAGTGCAACAGTTCACTGTAGAAAAGTGGATCAGGCAAAGTCCGTCCTAACAGCGTTATAATCAAACACTGCCATGATTATTCTCTCTAAAAATCCAGCATTTCTTCTTCCACTGGATGAGTTTTGCCTACTATAACAAGGCAATGGAGAGGTGCCCCAAAATCAACCGACTGCAGTTGCCTCATCGTACCAGAAACGATCTTCTGATCCTCACTTCCCAGCCGAGCAAGCCCAACACATGTCGTGTCTTCATTATATGCTGCAACGTAATGCACAAATAAAAAATATAGCAATAGTTTTATCGTGTAGAGGCCAGACAACAGATAACACTCATGTTTGAAGGTAAAGATCTGAAAAAATGGCATGGTTACCAGATTCTCCTCGATTGTGCTCAACCTCCAGAAGCTGCTCAATTGCAGTGTTTATCGACATATATCTAGGCGGTTCATACTGCTTCTTTCCTCTGAAAGGGAGGCAAGTAACAATAATAAGCCTATGCAGTTGCAGAAGCACAAAAAACACACAAACTAATGCACACGGTGAATTCTTCGAAGCTGAAATTAAAAAAGAGGCAGTCGATTATTTGACTAGAGACCTGCACAAAGATTCCAGAGTTGGTTCCTTCACGCGTATATCTACAACAAAAATAATTTGTAATGAGTTTGTATAGTAAGATAAGCGTCAGCGGTGTCATTTTTTAAGCAAGTATCTAGAACACAACCTAACAAGCATAGCGTATGCAGCCCAAGCGCACGATTTTTCTGAATCTTCTCATAAAAGCTATCCGGGCTCCATGTCTCGGTGAAGAATGGTATTGAAACTGTCTCACCGTAGTGGTAGAGTTGTAATCCACAGGCTCCAACTGCATTCATCACCGACGCATTGTGCACCACCTTGACATCAATCCCCAACTTCTTGGCTCGAACCACAAGATCAGTGTGTGTCGTAGCTCTGCGTTACAGATCGAATTACGCAAGCAAAAACACAGTAATCAGCTTACAAAGAGATTCCTCGTTGCTTTTGTATCAGTTTAATGATCTTATGCATTTGAAAAAGCTCAATTGATCAACATAAGTTATCTTAATTGCTTCCTCAATTCCTACTCAAAAAAATTGTCACACATGGATTTCGAGTTGTACAGATAAGGAGAAAGGGCATACCCAAAAGGATCGCCGACGACAAGGAAAGCGACGTCAGAAGCAGCGGCGGCAGTTAGAATTTGATCGGCCGTTTCCTCCACAGTTTCTCTATCTGCAAGTGCCACTGGTTTTCCGTACAGTTTTTCCTGCACATTGACAATGTTCAAACTTTTTGAAAAAATTAAGCAAGTTTTGCAAGCAATTCGAGAGAGAGAGAGTACGAGAGAGGAGAGGCCGGAGGAGGAGAGGCCCAAGGAGAGGAGGGAAGTGTAGGCTTCGATGAAAATCTTGTCGCATTTCTTCACAGCCTCTAATCCTCTCACAGTTATGTCTTTCTCGTCCCCCAATCCCAGTCCTACGATGTACAACATCTCTCTCTCTCTCTCTCTCTCTCTCTCCAGTCTCTCTCTCTCTCTCTCTCTCTAGCTGGTTTGTAGGCTTGGAACCCTGCAAAAACCCTAGTTGGGGCTTGGAAGCCAGGTGCGGCCAACTCAATCCGACGTCGTCCTCTCTCTCTCTCTCTCTCTCTCTCTACCCAGAGGCGGCCAGAGAGGAAGACGGGCCGATTCAACGTTTTAACGAAAGCCCAACTTAGTTTTTGTTTTATCTCTTGTCCGACGATAATTTACTTCAAACTAATCGAAATTATGCGGAGAGAATTTGAATGTTGATGCATAAGAGAAGCACGTCCGCTCTAGTAAGTGTGACTACAGTTTGCACATTGTGGATTTTAAGATTGGTAGTTGTATGCAAAGGTGAATTAAACCAATTAAACCCTTTCATCGAAATTCAAACTCCGTTCCTATTAAATTAGCATAGTTTAGAATACCGCTTTCGACAAAATAGGTCCTTGCATCTTTGTTTGCATACTCTTGTGCAGAGAAGAATAAAGAAAATGAAAATCATGAAAAACAACAAACACAAGTAAGAGAAAGAATCGAATATCCCAGCAGCTAGCTTCTCTTCCTAGCAATATATAGCACATCTCGATCAGTCATCGTCTTTGAACTCTCTGTTCCAACACAAAAATATACACAAATGAGTTAGTTTCATGCATAACTGATCGATCGAATATGATCCGAACATATGAATCATCGTACCTGCGATCAAGGTACCGAGGTTGAATCCTGGAACCCTGACACGTTGTGCACGTAAACAAACCGACCCCTTCGCAGTTGATGCAGTTGGACACTTCTTTCTCGCCCCCGCCAATCTCTACTGTCACTGTCCCACTCCCCGTGCAGAATCTGCATTTTTCTGAGACACACAACAACGTACGGTCGTCCAGTTTCATAATTTGGCACAAGCTTAAACAGCACGACACATGAGTACCGGAACTACGAGTTGTTGACACATTGAGTATGTAATTGAAACGCCGATATTGTTTCAAACTTAAGCACGTGTGTGCAGTTCGGTTTTTTTCTTTTTCAATAAGGTTTCGATGCAATTAGGACTGAAACCGCGTAAAATAAGTTGTATTTTATTTTGTAAGATTTCCGAAGCGAGACTTTACATACTTCACCAAAAAATACAGCTGCAAGTGAAGTAGTTTACTAATTACTTACGAGCGCCAGTTCCATTGCAGGGGAAGCATGGCTGAGTGTTGTCTCTCTTAGCCTGCAGTTAGCATTACTAATGTTAAATTAATTATCTACAAACTACTTAATTAATCGTATTTAGATACAGAATCAAAAGGACTCACAGCACTGTCGATCTGTGTTTCGTAGAAAACCGGAATGCCAATCCCAACCGCAACACTCGCAAACCCAACTGAGATTGCCACTACCTGGAAATTGATGGTTACGTCAGATTCCAAAACAAACTGTTCGAATTCGAGATTTTGGAAGGAGAAAGAGTGGGGGAAAGAACAGAAACCGTGTTTTGATCAAGATCAATCGCTCTGATGCATGGATACGACTTTGGCGATCGTTGATTTCCTGCAAACTTGTGGGACACGCGAAAGGAAGAAGGAGAGGTGGAGAGTGGAGGCGGGGGAGTGATGGTGCTTGCGGCATTTCCAAGTTAATTTTCCGGTGAATGCAGAGTGATGGTGGGGTTTGGATCTGTGGGGTTAGCAGTTGCCTCTAGTTTCAGCCACTACACAGTTGAAAGCTTTTCCTATCACAAACTCAACGTTCCTCCTACGTGGCTCCCTAGCGATAAAAAACCAAAAAACACAAAACTAAAAGAAAATTCTTTGGAATTTGAATAAGTTGTATGGAAGCTCAATACCATTCAGCTGTGTCCAACCCATCTGAATCATGAGAGAAAAAATTCAGTAAGGCAGTCTGATCACGTGATTAGTCATATCATTCTTAACAAAGAAAAAAACTTATGTCCAACCGATTGTATATGGCTTAAACAAAATTGGGCGGTGCCATGGGTAAGAACATGACAAAAGGCAATACCTAGGGTCTTGTTTTGTGTATCACGGGTGAACCTTCAAATTCGCCCTCAAATAAGAGAGTTTTTTTAATCAAGGGAAGAAAATTTCGGTAGGACAGTCTGATCACGTGATTGGTCAGATCATTCTTATAAAGAAGAAAAACTTATGTCCATTCGATTGTATATGTCATTAACAAAATCAAGTGGTACCATGAGTAAGAACAGGACAAAAGGCAACACATGGGGGGTCTTGTTCTGTGTCTGACAAGTGAACCTTAAAATTTGCCCTCATATAAGGAGCATATTTTTCGGTGTGCCAGGAACACAACCTGGTATATAAAGTGTCATAATACAATTGATTAGAAACTTGAAAAAAAATCCAATCAATTGTATTATGACACTTAGTGTATTCAACCATATTCTCGGCACACTGAAAAATTTCTCCACATAAGGACGCCCCTTGTGTTTGTGTACCATCCAACCCTAGGTGCCAATATACTGAACATTTTCACACGACGCAGCATTGTTGGATTGAAATATCGTCACTTTGACATCCGAGTGCAATTGAAGCAATATGTGAGTTTGATGATTGAACTGCCCTGTGAAACATCAGACCGGTCCACGGTCCAGCGACCAAAAAACGAATGAAATAGAAAGCAGAGGATGCCAAATTTACATCACGGTTACAGCAACAATTCAAAGAGCCGTCATTGTCCACCTACGCAAATCTAAAAATGTGAAATTTCAACGGTTTCCTGCGGAGCGTGCTTTCCTCAACTTTCCACGTGTGACCCGAATGGTTTCCTCCATGACCGTCTCTTTCGGGGGAGGATTTGTCTCTTCAGTTGCCGAAGAGGATGGCGCTGCGTCAGTCTGCGTTGGTGCAGCCTCTTCAGTTGGGGTGGTTTGGCTAGATGATTCAGATGCAGCTGCTGTTGCTGTGGCTTTTTGAGTAATTGAACCTGCCGTTTGAGGGGCAGGTTTAGGCTTTGGTGATGGTGCTAAGGCTTCCACTATCTCCTTTTGGTCCTTGCTTGAAGAAGTACTGGAAGTGGGAGATGGCGGTTCCTCGGGTTGTGATTGCGTAGTTGCAGCTGGCTGGCGATTTGGAGGTGGTGTGGTGGGTTGGCGCCTAACACCTTGTTGTGGCTGCAATTTCAAGAGTAACTTTTTCAGCAGAGGCAAAAACCTTGTTATAATTTTTTCCTTGATGAGCGGTTCCACAATGTATAGCGCAGTACGGCCTATATGGTAATAATAAACAATAAATATCGTGCAATGAAGGCGAGATGCACACATCCATACCGGAATGCAGGGTACAAAAGAAATGCAACGTACAATCAATAACTCATGAAGCAACAAAGTATTACTTTCAATCCGGTACCAACCTCCCCAAGGCATGAACGATCATCTATAACTAAATGAAGAAATATATATAAACACACACACAATATCCCGAAGTTCAAACAAAATAACCTTGAACAAGTACTTGAAAGGACTAATTTAATGAAAAGATGGTGAAAAGGCAAAGCCTAGAATTGAAACTCCAACATAACAATTCAACATGCACAAAAAAATCAACATCTGGATGATAAAAAGACAATAACGTTTTGATAACTTGCTCCAACTGACTGGGTGGCCAGATTGGCGATGTTGCAATCAATAATGATGGAACATAATGGTAAAACTGAAAACACCAAGTCCAAATCATGTCACCGTACCTGAGCAGGGCGAGGCCTTGGTGTCGATTGTGCAGCAACATACTGCAAAATATCAAATATTCTCGTCTGACCATAGCTTGCAGCTCTTTGCCAATACACAATGGCCATGTCACCAGCTCTAGTTTTTAGTTCCAACAAGTTCCTATCAATTTCATTTTCATGCTTTGCAAGATATGGTCTAAAGAAGGAATCATACACATAGGTCGTTCCCTGCAACACAGAGATAGTTGTGAGTATAAGGAAAGTTATACTCATAAACAAACAATTAAATAAGCTAATAATCTCAGTCCAAAATCCCTTACGGAATCCTGTACCTTTGTTTTCGGAAACCACAGATATATAATGAAGAGCAACTTAGCTTCGCTATACATGGGAACCCTGCACAAAAAGAAAAAAAAACAGAATGAGACAATGAAGTGGCACAAAATAAGCATATTTGAAATCTCGCAACATTCAAACACAAATCCCCTACCAGGAAACAAAAGCATCACCAACTCTCTCACATACAGTCAAAACAGCCACCAAAATCCTGAAATTCAAGGATGAAAAGCGGGTCATCGCTAAGAATCACAAGGGATTCAAGGACAAATAGATCGCTATCTTAGACAGAAGACGCAGTTGATACCAATACTGGCACCAAAAGCGAAGCTGTTCAATCTCCGGCTTATTCTTTTCAACGGTTTTGTAGCACTCATAAGCTGGATAAGCATAGCCAAGAGCCATCCTGTCAAGTGCCAACATGGAAAAGGGGGAAGGTCAGAATTTGACAATAATCAAACGTCCTTTGAAACGCAACCAGAAAGCGAGGGTCGATCATTCACATACACAAGTGTTCTGGTAAGAAAGGATCCTATCATCTTTTGCGTACCTGCCCATACACGAAAATAACCGCTTGGTCATACACGAAAAGAAACATAAAATGGCTCACTTCAATACCAAACAACTACCAATTTTTTGAGATACAACATTTCAATTTTCAGAACTTTAGTACAGAACAGGATGAATTTGTTTTCGATAAACATAACCATTCAACAAATTAAGAGCAGAACAAAATCACAACAGGTAAAGCTGATACAATATTCAGAAATGTTGATCTTCAAACACATTATTTTCGTTTCGGTTTCGAGGAATCTGTCAAGTATTTGACCTGAATAAATTATAAATTCCTGGAAACGAAAATGTATCTGAGCTCAGTTGAACTTGAATTTGAAATTGGGATTAGCAAATCCGCAATTCAAATTCAACTGAGCTAAGTGAACGGCCAGATTTGTAAGAACAGCCACTGAAGCAAACGATTACACCGCACAGAAATTAAAATTTCTTAACATTTGGAGACAATATACGCATTACAAGAACTAAAAGCAAAAAAATTAAGAAAAAAAGGCAAAAAAAAAAAAAAAAAAAAATTTAATTTCCTAAAGGGAAATTATGAATGCAATAATCTGATGCTGATAAGAATCCACATATCATCCAATCTCATTTTTCATGAAATAAAATCGGTTCACGAAAATATTCAAAAAATAAACAGTAACAATTAGAGTATTAGAGAGAGAGAGAGAACCGCTCGAAGACTAATTTGAAATTTGAACGGAATCAGCGGATTGAAAGAAGGCACTGAGCAGTGAGAGAGTTAACAGAAAACTCGAATCGCCGGACAGTTCGGAGATCGCCGCCGCAGGAGAACCGCACCGACGAAAGGCTCGAAGAACCGTTACGGTGTCGGCGGCGTAATAGACTGAGAAGGGAAGAGAGAGAGAGAGAGAGGTGTTTGTGCCGTTTACATTACCATATCTTATGTTTTGTTGGCTTTGCTTTTGCCCCTTTGGCGTCGGATTTGATATAGCGGTGAGTCTTAGCTTTTCGGTTCCGTCATCACGGAGAGCCGGTTCGCTGTGTGCGTGTGTATATTGTTACGAACGCCACGCGATACGCTCTCGGGCTTTAATCACCGTTAAAGTTGAAACTCACGGCTCACGTTTTTCCTTTTCCCTTGCATCTTTACAGGTCAGGGGTACACTACGATCGTGGTGACCTGTAATACTAATTTACGAAATGACAAATAATAGTATACACGCATCATATAAATTTTTTTTTGATCCTTGAACTCGTAATATTATGACATTAATAAATTTGTGATATTACGTAACAGAGTGATTGGAAACTTTTCGGGATGCACATTGATGCCTTGACAAATTTCCATTTGAAGCATGGTTTGCTTTCTGTCCTTTGCCACTTCAAGAGAAGTAGAATTTTTTGCCCTCCAAATCCTCCACTCTTCTTTAACGTTTCTTTTTTTCTTTATTTCTCTATAAAAAATAAAAAATCTGTATATGATGTTACTGTAACTTAATCGTGATTGTTCGGTGCTTAAAAAAAAAGAATTGGGAGAGGTACGTTATAGAAAAACCATTATTTTAGTGGGAATGTGGTCAACTAATGAGGTGGGTTAAGATGTTGTGATTGAGTAGAAAGTGTCTGATTGGGATGGGACAATGGACAGGGATGTAAAAATTTTGCATACGGAAATAACGGTAACCTCTATGATTTGACCACTCTGACCCAACAAGAAAATAGAAGTGCTAAGGAGAAAGTGGGGACTGTCGATTAAGTACTACGCTACATTGGTATTTTTTTTTGGTAGTAAATAAAAAGTTTTATATTTTATTTTTATTTTTGAATCATATTATTACGACTCATCTAATATGAGGCTTAATCCAATTCTTTATTTTTTTAATATAGATAATATATTTTGTATTTACGAAGAATTTCACTTTGAGAATGATTTCTTCACGTTTCTCAAAAGAAAAATGAATATAACATTTGACCATTGTTAATTGAATATGATTGTCTAATCATGTCTGAGATTCTCTATGATTTGATCCTACCAGTTAGAATTTTATTAAGGGTGAAAACATTTTTGTTCATTGTTCTAAATGTGACATCCCACATCGTCCAGGGGACTGATCCTTATATGTATATTTCATCTCTATCTAGCACGAGGCCTTTTGGGAACTCACTGGCTTCGGGTTCCGTAGGAACTCCGAAGTTAAGCGAGAGGGGGGCCAGAGCAATCCCATGATGGGTGACCCTCTAGGAAGTTGCTCGTGAGTTCCCAAAAACAAAACCGTGAGGGAATGGTAAGCCCAAAGTGGACAATATCGTGCTACGGTAGTGGAGCGGGCCCGGGAAGTCGTCCCACCCGGGCCGGGATGTGACAATTTGGTATCAGAGCCTATCCCTGGCCGGAAATGTGCCGACGAGGACGTCGGGCCCCTAAGGGGGGTGGATTGTGACATCCCACATCACCCAGGGGACTGATCCTTATATGTATATTCCATCTCTACCTAGCACGAGGCCTTTTGGGAGCTCACTGGCTTCGGGTTCCGTAGGAACTCCGAAGTTAAGCGAGAGGGGGGCCAGAGCAATCCCATGATGGGTGACCCTCTAGGAAGTTGCTCGTGAGTTCCCAAAAACAAAACCGTGAGGGAATGGTAAGCCCAAAGCTGACAATATCGTGCTACGGTAGTGGAGCGGGCCCGGGAAGTCGTCCCACCCGGGCCGTGATGTGACACTAAAGGTTAAAATTTATTTTGGTCGTTGTGTTGTCAATTTAGCCAATTTAATTAATGTGTTGTTATAAGTTAACAATTTTAGTCACTTCCATTAGTTTGCAGTTAAAAAAAAAACTATTAAATTATTTGCTAATTAAGTTTTCGAATTCTTTCATTGATTTTATCTATTTAATGAATATTTTAATATATTTTTAACTTCGAAAGTGACCAAAATTATTAATCTTCAACAACACAGCGATCAAATTGGCTAAATAAAAAAACATAGTGAATGATAAAATCCTCTTAGGGCTGTAGAGAATTGGAAAAGGTAGAACAAAATGCAAGCTTGGAATAAAAGAGAAGCTTGACAGTTAACTCGATAGTAATAATTTCATTCAAATCAGACTTGTCCTCCAGCATCTCAAGTACAAGTTATTTATACAACAAAAGGAACATAAACTAGTACAAGTTATTAGCCTTCTTAATCTTGGAATCTGATGGGTTTTGTAACAACCCTCCTAAGACGTTCCTTGGCAATAGAATGCTTATTAGAAACCATGAGGTTAGGAATGTCCAAGAGCAAGACTTTGACTTTAATTCTATGTGTGACTCCTCAGATGATCCTTCATCAGTGAACAAAATAAATTTTGACTTATAACATAGTGACCAAAAATTCCTATAACCCTTTTATTAATTAGAGACCATGAGGTTAGGATTTTTATTTTGCTTGAGCTATTTTCTAATTTGATTTAAATTAGAAAGAGTACAATTCGAACTTAACTGTAAACGAGATACCACAATACTAAGTTAAATAAGTATCAATTTTGTCATTTATATGAGTCAAACATAAAAGATATTCTTTACGAATGAAGAAGAAAGTTAATAATTTATGAGATCGATCAACGAGACGGTGGGTATAGTGTAATAGAGTTGGTAGCTAGACTAGAGGCTAGCTTGGTAAGGCTCTCTGACAGAGGAGTTGGGCTATCTGATATAATGTAATAGAGTATAGTGTTGTAATTATCACCTCGATCATTGTCTTGACTTTTCATCCACTTTTTAATAAACTATTTAATTACAAGTTTGCCCATTTGTAAAATGACTAATAAAGACCTTAAAAGATGTATAATAATAATAGATTGGACGCGGTTCTAAGTCCCACCCTCTTCTTGCTTTATCTTTTAAAAAAAATGAAAGGGTTGAGCAGGATTCTGACTCCCACCCTCTTTTTACTTTATCTTTTTTAAAAAATAAAACAGTTGGGCGTAATTATTTTGTTAAATAAACAGGTTGAGCACGATTCTAACTCTGCCCTCTGTTTAGAAACATTTATCTACCTTTAAACTCTAGCTCATATTTCCATCTTTTTTCATTCAGAGAAAACAAAAAAATTGAACTTAGAAGATGACGTTTTCATTGAAGAGATAGAAGACAATGTTTTCATGGAAGAGGTACACGATGTTTCCATTGACTAAGTAGAGGATAACGTTTTCATTGAAAATGTAAGAAAATCATGTTCAAATCATATATATTTTTCTAAGAGACAAGTTTATAATTTTAGATAATATATTAGAGATTATTTTAGGAATATCAATGGGTGCAGAAGTAACATTTTAATTTTCTAAATTTTGTTAATAGACGAGATCATAATATAATTAAAAAAATAAGATATTGAGATGAATCTAGCAGTTTTCACGAGTAAAAGGTTGTGCTCCCTTAACCCTTTTGGCTGTTTCCAAAAAGAAGCAAGAGATATCATTTAATTTTAATCCAACAAATAATTTAAAGTTAAAAAGTGCAAATGATAAATGAGATTCGAGTCTACCGCGGCCATCGAGTGTCCATTTACACGTCAATTCCATCATTCATTTTACAAGAGCAGAAAAAAAGGGACTTGTTGGTAATTGTGTTACAGGTATTAAAGTAAAAATTACACCAAAGAGGACAAGGGTGTTTCCTTTGTGTTTTTGTCAACCACAAGGAAGCCAAAAGAACCCTCACCTACAAAGAATAGAGAGAATTGTAGTAATTGTTCTTTAATTTTAATTCAATTAGAGTAATAATCATGTTGAGAATGAATTTTACATTGATGGGAGGGGAGACTTTGCATGTGCTTTGCTTATAAGTAAGTTGGACTACTCCCCAAATTGCCAATTGATTTTATGAGGGAACTCCAACTCTCTTCATGGTACTAGAGCAGGTCATTTAACTAAAAATATTTGACCAATGGTCTCTTAACTCATTAAAACGCGTATTTATGGTATTTTTCGTCAACTCTGTTAGAAATTCCGATGAAATGAGTCGCATACCACGAATGTGAGGGTGAATCAAGGAGCAAATATGAAAATCAAATGAGAAAATTGTAGAAATTGTTCCTCAACTTTAACCCAATTGGAGAAATTGTCCGTCAACATTAACCAAATTGGAGCAATGGTCCCTCGATTTTAACCCAATTGTAGCAATTGTTCTTCCAACATGACTCATTTTGACGGATTTTATGATGGAGTTGACGAAATGGATTATAGCTGCATGTTTTGGTGAATTAAGTGACCAACGGTCACAGATTTTTGGTTAAGGGACCATTGCTCCAATTGGATTAAAGTAGAGGGACCATTGCTACAATTTTCTCCAAAAGAATATGAGGAGAAAGACTTCACAGTACTGGCACGCTCTCATCGTGGTATGTCGTGTCAACGATATATTGTAATGTGTAAATTTACTTTTACATAATATTGATTGTTAACACCTAGGAATACACTAAGAAGACTCTCTCAAACGTTGGACTATCCATTAACTCTCTGTCACTTTATGATTTTGGCACAATGTTTCATAATGTTAGCATGAAAATTGACATTAAACTGTAAGGTGACAGAAATTCTATGAAGAGTTCCACTTTAAAAGAATCTCCTTAGCATTTCTCTAACACAAAACACTACGTTAAAACTATACTCGTATCATCAAAGTTGTTTTGCATCATTAGAGACAGAAAGGGAGAGGCATGTAGAAAGTGGGGAAGGTTTTCGAAGCCTTGGATTCCACATTTCTCGTAAATAAAATTATAGCTAGTAGAAGCAGTTGGATCGAGTGGTGGTCCAAATAATCCTATGGCATTCCATTTTATGGGACAATCGTCCCCTCCCCTCCCCTGGCTTCTTCTTCCCCTCATGTGCCTGTAATTATTTATGTTTGTTTGTTGGCATGTCTTTCTCATACCTTTTACCCTTTACCCTTTACCCCCACCCATTTTTTCTTTCTTTACTTCTTTTGCTTATTTTATTGTCCTTTTCATAAACCTTCAAATGCTCTCTATTTCTCTTGATGCATTTTTGCTCATCACTTTATTTATTACTATTAGATTAATTTAAATTTTAAGATTTGTGTCTATTTACTGCATAGATTTCGAAATGTAAACTTATTCAACAATATTAAATAGGATGGTCAGCGTCACCGTTATTTAAGAGTGGTGAGCAAAAATACTCTCTATTTTTCTCTGCTCTTTTCCTTTTTTGGTACAAGACATACCCAGAATCTCCCTTATAATTCTATCCAATGTGGGAAAATTTGAAGTGGACTTACTGTAGCAATTCTTTACGTATATTTTGGGCATAACCGAGTTGGTTAGAGTCAAGAATAGTGTGTTCTTATAATTTGTGAAACTATACATGCTTTTGGGAAGGGGATTTGGTCAAAAAAAAAATTTGACCAAAGATAATTGAAGTCACTTGATAATTGTTATCACCACCCACCTACTTTGTTGTATGCATTATTTGGGAAGAAGGGATGGGCAAACGGTTAATCTCTACCATCAATTACTCTCTTTGATAATAATAAGTGCAACTCCACTGCTGGTTTTTAGTGTTTTCCATTCAAAGAAATTAATTCATGGCGGTTCTCATATAAAATGGCGAAATTTTATTATGCTTCAGTTTTGTGTATGATATGTACCAGATGAATGTAAAGTTGAATGTACAATCAAAGATACAACAGCCAAACCAACAAGGATTTGTTGAGTTGGTAAAATCGTTCTCTTCGCTAGATCATGACATAGGTTTCAGTTTCACTGCAGTAATCCTTCTTGACAAGTTATTTGTAAAAACTATAAAAAAAAACTAAGACCCACTCTGTAAGTCTTCAAAAGACTTGTGGTGTACCCTGACCCTAAAATATGGTAGCCTCCCATCTCCCTTGACTTATTGTTACCAAAAAAAATAAAATTACAACAACTAAAAATTTAACAACTAAGGTCTTTAATATGCACTATTTACCGGTGCATACTAAAAAATTTCGTACAACGAACTCAATCCGTTGGTCTTACAGTACATAATTTGACTCATGAATCGTGAGAGAGAGGAGAAAATGATCAACATTGTGGTCTAAACATGTGTAACCTAAGTTCCACCAAATCTGATTGTGATTTGCGAGTACGTAGCCAATTGAAATCCTCCTGGTGATTCTTCAATCACGTCTGTTTATCGTACATCGTGCGATCATAAATTATTGTAAATTTTTTTATTTAAAAGTGAATATAAACAATACCTGATAAAAACTGACCGCACGATATACGATGAACGAATGTGATTAAAAGATCCTCGAAATCTTTTTAAAAAGAATCCGGCGAGAATCCTCTCTCATTGAAATCCTACTTTAACTGATGGTATTAGTATTAAAATCCGTCGTAGATAAGAACTAAGAAGTTAGGTAAAATTGTGGTGGCTTTTCTTAAATAAACGACTTGCAGTGACAGCATATCCAACTCTAGCTGCTATGTCGTACATTACAAATCCTTTTAAATCATGTCAAGGAAGGCTTGTGGTTGGATTACAGATTCAATAACAACCCCACAAATACCTCCCTCATGTAATATGCCACCACCTACTAATTTTATAAAACGCATAACCGTAGATCAAACCATCTGACCACATGACATACATGAACAAGATAGTAACTATACTATTAGTATTATTGATTCTTCGATTACGTAACTGTTTGATATCGTATCGACATGCTCATACATAAAAGCCTACGTTGAAAGAATATCACGACATGACATCATCTTGTTGCGTTATCTAATCAACCAACGGGTCAACCAAACGAGTACGATCTAAATGGAACTGATACACCATCACAGTTGCAAGTCAACCCAAACTTGGGTTGACTAGGCTAGCTGAATATGAGCTTCTACCAAATCTGGGCCTTCGAATTCCAAATATTCTACATTGGAGCCCAGGTAGACGAGCCTAACTGTTGTGAATCATTCAAGCTGAAACGTGGGGAAGGTAGCTTCAAAAAACACTGTATTTCTCTACTTTTTTTTTTTTTTTAATGAAAAAAAGATTAGACGAGATTAGCTCTACACTAATGATAACGTGCGAGGCACGTATTTCTCATTGACTTTGATTATGCATAAAGCTAATTCAGATACTGCTGCAAAATCATTGGGAAAAAAAGGAAATTTCTAATTAATTTAGCAACTTCTATCCAATGTGTAATGTTTATGATCAGGTAGTAGGATGTCTTCCCCTTCGGCCTTGCCTTCCTCGGCTTATTGTTGAATCCGATGACACCACCCGACATTATTCCCAACGCTTGTTATTGTTTGCTTTCACCAGATCGTAGGTTTAAGCCTCCCCTCCAACGAACAAAGATTCCCAACTATCACGCGACCGGAGCTCCAAAGTGCATACAACTTCCTTCCTTCATTATGTAATGTTATCATTGGTCGTCCATCTATAGAAAGCAATCCTCATCTGCATCTCTGAACACGGAAACTTGATCTAGAAAAACTTCATCAAAACCGCTGTAACTGCCATATCGTTTTATCTATCCCTCGACAAAGTTGATAAGCTATGGTTCGACCAAAACTCGTCATTCCTCAGCCTTCAGATGACACATATAGGCTGCCTAAATGGTCAGGCAGCCATCTAATTGGCATCCTTGCCCTACATTGTCTAAACTTTCCAGCAGTAACTATAGATTATACTAAAACAATAGAAAGTTCTAACTACACATTTGTATAGCAAAACATGAAAAGAATATGGTATCCCTCACGTCGTCTGGAACAATCAACTACCTGATTCCCATTTACACTACGGTCAATGTTCATTGCCCAACGCTGCGCTACTCTTCTTAGAACGGTCTTGAAGGAGGTTTTTGCTTTGGATCCGGGCCTAATTCGCTGTAGGTTCCAATAAAGAAAGTCTTTAGTTAATTCCCTGTAAGCCTACATGGCTACATCTTATCCAAATCTGATTTGGATTCATATCCGTTACATAAATGCTCCATTCCCTTTTTTACAAGGAGAGGTGGAAGATGCAGACCTTGGCGACTAATTCTAAAAGATTCGGGGCAAAAGAGAGGGAGGAAGTTGCTTACCCCATAGATCTGTAAGGCTAACATCAGGTTCTGATCTAAACCAATAATCATCATTGGCCTGCAAAAATTATCATTCACAAATCAGTTAATTAGGTTAACTATGACCGATGATAGATACATACTAAGCACACTTCAGAAGCTACATGGAAGAAAAACTTGCATCGAAATGTGAAGGAATAATCTTCTGAATCCCAGAAGATGCCTCTGAGCTTGGTAAGCTGAGAGTTTCAGAAGTATTTTTCTCGCCCTGATGACATGAAGATATCCCTCCATGTTCTGCATTGCAATAGTCACTACGATTGCAAGAAGATGAACCTGCTAATTTTGCTTTCTTGAAAGCAATACTCTCGAGTTGACATTGGTATTTGCTACAAATATTGAGAATAAACGTTACACACTGAAGTGCAAAAACGTAACCTATGCATGTAATTCGGAAATAAATTCTGTGACATATGTTCATGACCATCCATATAGCTTAGCCTATGCAGGGAAGAGAAATTAATACCTCAAGAGATACACATCTATAGGTCCTATCGTGCTTTTGACAATCATCCTAAACTGCCTTTGTTGAAAAGAAATATCCTGATCAAACAAAAACTGAGTTAGCTATTAATGCTATCCCAAAATTCACAAACCACGTCCGTCGAAGGTACCCACCTCATCAGGATCTACAACTTCAATATAACTAGCTTGAGGAGCTTTTATTGCAATAAGGGTTTGATTCTGCGACAACAAAAGCAGTAAGAAAACAGTGAGATTCATGAACAGGTAGAAAAATAAAGCGCTAAGTAATTAAAGTTTTTAAGTTTCACAGGAAAAAACTGACCTGGAAGCAATGAAGACTTGAAATATCTTCCTCCGTCAAAAATGAGTACCTAAAATGTAGATGTTAGCAGATTATAAAGTATTAAAAAGATAAAAAGATGTAGCGTTGATGCAAGGACAGACAACGGGATTGAGACTATACTTTTTATACTTTTCATCTTGCTCCAGGGCCCTTAGAAGCTCTTGCTTTTCCCTGAAAAAATGACGTCTTGATAGCTCAACATACAAGAGAGATCAGAAAACATCTCAAAGCGTCTGTTTAAATTCTAAAGATCCAACCTTATAGCATCATCAAGCCTGCATTCCTCCTCATATAGACTTTCAACTTCATCCTGAAAGAAAACCAAGAGTTCTGCGTTGTTAGATCAAATCATGCATAGAAAGTATCAAACAAAGGGAATGAGCAAGAAGTTGACTAATGAACACGATCCAAGTGATTATAATTGAAAGCACCTTTAGTCTAGAAACATGATCATCCAGCTCGCATGGTGTCGGCCCATCATATCCCCTGTCATTAAAGTGCACTGGTCAGATCAATCCATACATAGAAAGTATCAAACAAAGGGAAGCAAAGATTGATAAAATTACTTCCAACGTATGTGATTCTTTGAAGTTTTCTCTACCAAATTTATTCCTTCAAGAACGTTTGTAATATCATATATCCTCCTCTTTTGAACCTGTAATAACCAATATGGTATAAACAATAACACAAGGAAGATTTGATATGTTATTACCCAGACATGAGACATAACACCAAGTGCTTGTTAAAATGATACCAAAGACATTTGATATACCTCCAACACCTCTGCTGTTCTATTCAAATCAAGGGTTCTATCCTTGGCCTCGTAAATTAGCTTGATAAATTTCTTGGTTAACAAGCCTGCAAACAACATATTACATCCCTTATTAGCCTTGAGCTACACAGACAGGGAGAACGTCAATACTCAACAGCACATACTGAATGAATGCCTGTAATAAGTGTTCGAAGTGGGCGCATAGTTAGAGGGATAGCTCCAAATTATTTCTTTTTAATCTCAACTTACCTAAAGAGTTGTCAAAACGGCAACCAATAGCTTGAGCTGGACCCAGACCATTACAGAAGTCCGCAGTTGATCTTTGAGTCCCAACTTTGGTATGCTTAGGAACTTTTAGTTTACCATTATGCTTTGCACCTGTGAAGGACTGTGGTAGAGGTAAAATACCCTTCATTACCTTGCTTGGCCCAGCAGCAGCTTCTTGCCCACCAATCTGAGCGTCGTTATCTATTTCCTGTTTTGGTCTCAACTGCAGTAATTATTGTATATTAGAGATGTGGAAAAAGAATACACGAGAAGGCTAAAAGTATGCTATGAAAGATTTGCACAACATTTGCACAACACAACCATAAAATGAACAGAAATCGCATTCAGACACACCGGCAAGTGTACTCAACGACGATAGTCATGCATACTTTAACTAACAGCGACATTCTCAAGTCATTTAACTAAACAGATACATTGCGATTGTATAAGTTGTGCAATTTTATAGTTCATATCATTGACATTGTAAAGAATGTTACTGTCAGTTGCTCACGCGTTTATGGCAATTTATTACGGTAAAAAAAAAGGGAAAAAAATCTCTGTAAATCACAATAAAGAAGCCGATTGCGCAGTTAATGAGGGCAGACAGAATGGCCAATCGAACATTTAAATTAAAAAGGAAAAATCAAGTCGCCATCCAATAAAATCCACGACTAATTATCAGCAAGAACTAAATAAACAATTAAGAAGCAGTAAAATCCTCTAAACCTTTCAAATACAATAAATCCGAAACCGAGTCTTTGAAAACGAAGAAAACGAAGAAAACAATGACGGTGATCATTCCTCACAGAATCAATAACAAACACAAAAGTAATTCAAGAAATCTCAATAAAAAAAAGACGGCGCCGATGACCAGAAACACTCACCGAAAGCTTAGCCAAAGCGGAACGGGCGTCGGCGGTGACGAGAGAAGCAGAAGCGTCGCCGGAGAGGCGGCGGCGGTCGGAGCCGCGGGAAGGAGCGAGAGCGGGAAACGACTGTGGGTGGAGACACTGGGAGGGAGGCAAAGGCGAGTACTGGTAGCTCATATGGCTCTGAATCTGGGAGTGCGAGCGGAGGAGCTGGAACTGGAATTGCAACGGCCGGAGGAGGCGATTGGGATCCTCTGTCTCCATGGCGGAGGAGGGAGCGGAAGAATTTTGAAGAGGAGGTAGGGTTTTCGTTTGCTAGTTTTGCGAATTTAATTAACTCTTAAATTTGTGAGTGTTTAAGTTTTAATGGGAAGAAGGAAGCCCAACGCGAATGGAACTCGAAACGCGAGGAGAGAGAGGAAGCGGCGTCGGTAAGTGACACAACAGCGGGAAACGTATGCGGGTGAGTTTCGAATGCGCTCGCCCCGCCTTTCTGCTGTCACCCTGACAAAATATTGTATTTGTAAGCGGTGGGCAACCTTTGGTTGTTTGGGCCTTCTTATTCATCATGGGCTTGGGCTTTTTCTTCAATATATAAATACTAGCAGATGCCCACCTGAAATGTGTGCGGGAACAATTTTGTTTTATGTTGTTTTTTTATTAAAGAGCGTGATTATTTTTTAAAATTCTAAAAAACAAATCGGTTATGAAAAATGGAACAGAACAATAATGGGGGAAGAGATCTGGTCTGGATCATCTCTCCCATCAAAGGTCCAGATCAAGTGATACAGGCCGTTGAAATTTGATCAAACAGTTACAATTGTTAAAATTTTTAGAGAGTTTCCTATTTGTAACTATTAGATCAAATTGAAAGATCCGGACTGAATATCTTCCCCAATGGGGCAATTACATCTGACTTGGGCATATTATTTTATTTTTAAATAGGACATGATATGCTTACATGACTGTGAGGTTAGGGTAAAAAACATCAAACTTTTATGTTACATATAACTACTAAATTGCCCTCTTGTTTTTGCTTTTTACTCAGTTTTGATGAGAATTGAAATGGTAATTTCATGAAGAGTTCTATTAATAGATAATTTAGATATACCCTGTTAAAAAATAGTTCCTTACCATGAGCAATTCGGCTAAAAATTTATTTTATAAAAATAATAATAATAATTTATACTACGAACTCTCTTTTTCAATTAATTTTTTTATACATAATTAAAAAAAATATTAAAAAAAGAAATTATGGACATCAAAATAATTTCACATGCCTTTTTCCTATTAATAGAACTCTTTGTCAACTAAAAAACAAATAGAAATACCATTATACCCATCCAAGCAAAATTAAGAGAGAATAATATTTTCCGGAAATTGTTATTGGCACTCCAAACTTTCTATATATAGAAAGAAAAATACACTTGTAAGGAGTGTATAATGAAATTTTTAGAGTGTCAATAACACTTCCCTATTTTCCGATAGAAACTTTAAAATCCGGAATTGCAAGAAGAAATGGAGCACCACTATCATTCTCGTTAGTCCCAACAAATTGCCATAGAAATACACATAAGCCACAACCCACAGAACACAGATTGCAAATCCTGCAAGGAAAAAATTTGCAGTAATTGCAGGTTTACAGATAAACAGAAGACGAAAAGCTAGTGTACATTTTGCACGCAGTGGTTTCGCCCACGAACATCCATATAACAAGTAATCGCAACTCAGCCGTGTGATTTTCTTCTTCAAATCAGGTTGGTGAAATCTTGGTCCCGCTGAGAATGTACCCGCCGAATCCATTCATCTGCATGCATGGATGCGTTCTTGATGGTAGTACCTGAAACAATTATTCACAATCAGTCTCTAGAACGCATCAAATAAAGGTGTATAATCTTACAGAAACATTACACCGGGAATTAAGAATGGACCTGCCACAACGGCACAAGAAAAATTAGCATTCCAACGTGGCGTTCGTACTGAAATCATCAGATTAACACTCAAGTTGAGCTAGGCCACTTTCTCAACATTTCCAACGTACATCCTTAGAAATAATTCTCCGGCATACATGTTTACGCTGGAGATGACAGATGCAGGCCGTAACCTCACCCTATGGGCAATCTTATCTTAAATATTTTATTCAACTTCTTGTCCAAATTTAAATTTTGATTGGCAGATCTCTCTCTCACACACACACACACACACACACATGCATGTAGACAAATTGTATGCATTAAAATAACTCACACAGAATCTCTGTTTTCAGATTCATTTAACCTACACAAGTTTCAAAAACTGGAGTTCTGATGGCAAACGACGTTAAAATATATAGAGATCTTTAGAACTCGCAGACCAGATCAGATACATAAATAAGACCAAACCAACCTGATATTCGCGTAACCAAGGTTCTGAAATTTGCATGCCAATCGCCATTTTCCCCGTTTGTAGATTGTGCATGCATGTTGCAAGAGGCTGCATATTCAAGAGTACAACAGTGTTAGTTTAATCGTCTACAAAATTTGAAGATACTGAATTCGAATAGGAAAACTACTAATCTGGTATGATCAAGCATTTGAAGCTAAAAACCTGCAGATACTGATGAAAAATAGCAAAAGGAGCAGAATTTGACATAAGTGGCAAGATCTCTTTAACTAAGGCCCAAGCATCCAGCTCCGGTGCTGCTATTATTAAACTGCAAAAAGAATGCAGAACTATCAACCAGATGCTACTTTCAACTAGTAAAATAAACACGCAGCAACAATATTTACCTAGAGAAACCATTCTCTTTCCACGAGCTGATGATTTCCTGTGGTGCTTTTTCTCCCAATTTTGCTGGTTTGGACATTTTAATTACTGGAGAACTAGTAGACACAGGCATAGGATCTGATATCACACTTTCAGATGTAAGAGATGCTTCTTCCATGCTAACTGCTGAAGAAATTTGGTCCTGAAAATAGAGTACCCAAAACAATTACGAAACTGCAAGACAACGAAATCTGCAAACAAAAATGAAGCGCCACTCACATTTGACTGAATTTCCATATTACCAGACTCCGCTTCCTGAGTTGCTGGTTTTTCAATTCCGTTTTGGACAGATAATAGGTCCGCAAGAGGAGACCTCACAATCCTGTATAAGCAACATAAATACAAAAATATCTCAAAAGTTGGTTACTTAAGGAGTGTAAAATTTCATCTAACTACATTTCCCATGAAAAGTAACTCAAGGGCAGATGTACCTCTTGCAAAATTCATCTCCAAAGTTGAATATCCTCGCTATATCCATAGAATAAGGCGACCCACTAAGATATGTATTGCAGACATAGCCCGTACCTGTGAAACATACAGAAGCATTAAAAATGCGAAATGTCATAAACAATGTTGCAATTGCAATCACACAAAGTAGCCATAACAAACCGATTCCATTTTAATTGGATATAATTCACTTCAGTTTCACTACTTCACCACCCATGACTCTGTAAATTAAAAAACTCAAAGCAGCAAATAGTAAAGGGAACTTGGGGAGAGCAGACCTCCTAAACGCTCTGCCACAGCACCAGTTAGAAGTCCTCCAACCATATCCACTACGAGGACATCAGAATTTGCAGAAACATTAGCCATGGAAAGCAGAAGAGACAATGTGTCCATTCGCAAGAATCTGAACCAAAGGCAAACATATGATACATAAATTCTGAGCAAATAACATGAAAAAGTAGTTTACCAAAATAGAGGAAAACTCATAACTGGCTAGTCCTTACCCAATTTTATTCGGATATTTCTTTAAGTACGCCTCACATATACTGAGAGAAACAGTAAAGAACAACAAGTGAGTAAAAAGAATATGAGATTCGGAAATTATAGATGCACATTCATAACAGCAGCCAAAAAATTGCTAATTGTGGAGACATCATGACGTTTCATGCATATAATTAAATCATTTCGTAAAGTTCTTGCTGATAGAACAGCAATATGACTTCAAAATAAAGCTCCTGCTTCAGAAATAAGAGGTAACCTTCTAGTGAATGGGCGCCTCATAAGTACAACGGGAGCATATTTCTTTTGCTTCTTAAGCCTATATTTCTCCTGCAGACAACAGAACGACAGGAAATCAGACCACCTTCTCATATGAACACAAAGTAGTACTCGAACGATCTACATTACCTGTGAGAAAACAGTTTTCTTCTCAAACGTCGCACTGTTTGCAATGAGAGCTTCAACTATTTCATCACCCGTTGCACCCTGTCTGCATTTATCATTGTATTAGTCCACCAAAAATGTACAAAAGGAGCCCAAAATACAAACTAAATCTCTGATTAATTTGTTCTCACTGTCGCATTGCGTTAATGTCTTCTCCGGTTAGGCTCTGCGCTTTATTGTTATCGACTAATGCTCGATTATCTCTAAACTCATCAATTGATTGACCATCACCTTTTTCTTGAACATTATTAACTGAATAAACAGGCAAATATCAAGCAAAATAACACAATGTCATTATCCCAAATTCCACATTAACACAAAATTTCGAACAAATTAAAGTTAAAAACCAAACCTTCCGTGGACGGAGTGTACCGGGCCAAATACGGGCCTTCGGCTCCATTTTCGACCCGAAAGAAAGAGCCGAAGGGGCAGCCAATCAAAGGCTGCAGAGAGCAATTCTTATTCCCAATTTTCAATTTCCTGCACATCCATTCCGCATTCAACTGTAAGAACTCTCAACAACTCTAAAAAAAGGCAAAAATTTGACTGAGAGAGAAATACTACTTACGCTCCGGCGGAGAGGCGGGCGAAAACCAGACGGTCGCCGTCGTTGATGTCGAGCAAGACGGAGCAACCGTCCCAGGTGGACCTAGGGTTTTCAGATGAATCGATTTGGGGCTTACTTTCAGAAATCTCCATTCTTTTGTATCTTTTACTGAATTTTGAAGTGAAGCAGTAAGCACAACTACAAGCTTAAAACCCCAACGCTCTGAGTCTCTGACAGTTAGCTTAGCTAGGGTTTTAGTTCACAGTTCGGCGATGCGGACGACGACGCTTCCTTTTCTTCCAACGACGACGGTTTTTTCGGGTATGGTGAGGCCCGCGAGAATTAGAGATTCGAACATTTCGCGGGTGTAGCGGTGGGTAGTTTGGGCCCAACAATCTGGAACCAGCAGATTATCTGTTAATAGAATTAGTGGGCCGAGACTCCAGCCCGACGTAAAGTAACGTAAGAAGAAAAAAAACTTCAATAAAAAAAGCAAATAAATAAATAAATGAAATAGAAAAGGATACGATCAGTATGGAACTACCGATTATTTGGAATATTTGTCGCTAGCATGTTAGCAACATTTTTCAGTAAGAATCGCTATCTTCATACCGAATCCTTCTTTTCAATTTTTTATTTTTAGTTTTTTATTTTTTTTTCGCTTATGTTTGTTTTATTTCTCTTACCATAAAAACAAACTATCAAACTCACATTCTTCAAAATATATTTTTCCATGCAAAATCTATTATAATACATATTTAC